ATAGAAGAGGCCACTGTGAGAAAGAAAAGCCTAAAACTCTGGAACATGATAGTTATAAATAATGCAGTGAAAGACGAATGAGGAGCAAGAATTTCTGGCCGCAATCGAATGAAAGTGATCCGCACAAAGTTTTACAACAACCTGCACTTTTCTAAAGTAGGCCTGAAACGAAAGTTGCCTCACGTTTCCTCAGCAGCTATTTTCTAAGTTACCAGGGAGGAAGTTGAGTGGGCAGTTGGAAACATCAAAATTGCTCAATTTCAGGAAAGAGCAATGCAAGACCAAAACAACTAATCGCTTGAGAAAAATCTTACTTACGTCTCTCGTCAAACGTCTTACTTAATGCATGTGGCAGAACAAGACGCCTATAATGGTAAACTTACTAAGAACAATTTTTCTCATAGAGAAAGGCGAGTCTGACAACCTCAACAACTACCAACCAATCAGAATACTGTTGAAAGTCTGCAAAGAATTGACTCACACAATTCTCAACCGCGTCCGAAAGAACTTCAAACCGGTCACAAATTTGGGAACTGAACGGAGATTACAGCGGGGGGACATATGCATGCCATCCAGCAGCCGAGGGACAAGTGCAACAAATATAAAATATCGTTGAAATGATTGGAGGAGTCATATATTATTTTGACACACTCCGGCGTTCGAACAACTTATGACATTTATGCGGTAGCTACAATGAGTGCCAGCTCCTGAAACATCGTTCGCGATGAGGTCGAGGTGGCGAACAACATGATGCAGGCTGCATCTGGCACTGCGGATGCTCAAATACCGTGGAGCTGTTACCTGCATAAATGACTCTTTAGGCAACTGGGAGATCTAGTCTTGGAGGATATATACATATATATTGTTCCGTGACCTCATTTTCTTTGAGGTTCATATCAGATAGCAGTTGAAATCGAATATGGACACATATGGAGGAACACCTTAGAACATTAGCTATGACAATTAGGTGTTGATCAGAAATGTTTACCACCAATTTATCGCTAAGCTTTAGCAATTCAACGACTGACGATCAGCTGAACCAAGATGATGAGGAGGTAGACATATTTTGGACCTCTTTTTGCAAATAAAACTTTAGTGACATACAATCTGTGCAATTTCCTACATAGTCAGCCCAATGCAATTATCTTGCTCACAAAGGCATGTAATGTATGGCAGGACAACTTGTGTGGCAATCTTCCAACAAGCCAACGAATTCACTCAAAGGTAGTAAACGGATTGGAAATGCCTCTCTTCATAGACCGCAGGTGAATCATGTGATGGCTTACCGTTGTGTTAACATATGCGCTTGATATGCTTGCTTGTGAGCTTTCAAGTGTTGATCATAACTGCAACGGAACAAACTTCGAAGGAGCAGTATGTTATTGTGTACATTACATATACGGCATATTCGAGTTCCTCCACTAAATCAGCAAATGGTTTTCAACACAACGTTCTCCATTCATGCCTCGTTTCCATAGGATTGTTCGGACTCCATAAGGAAAATTTCACCTCTCACAAGGTAGGAAGATTTAAATGACAGGTAAAGTTTTATGCATATTTCATGAAATGAGGCATATGAAATGAGGCACTGCTCCGTGGTGCAGAGGATAAATTTTAAGAGGGGATGGTTGTGCATAAGCTCATCAAGAAAAGCCTGATCAGGCGAAGACTCACCAACCGTTACCTAGAACCCCACTGGGCATGGAAAGGAAGCAAATGGCCGTTCTGTAAGAAACGCTTCTTAAGTGTGGGCAGTAGTTCCTACCGATATGAGACGAAGAGATCAAATAGACGATACCACTGTGACAGTGAACAGCGTTCGATACAGAACCGAAAAATGACACGCTTCGCGTGAAATATACCTTGGTAATCAGCAGCTGTCCCGTCTGAAAAAATTGCAGGATCACATTTCTTTTCTTGAATCTGTCGCAACGTTTCGAAACAGAAATTCGAACTGTGTATGGGTGTTTTGTTCTGCCAGTCAAAAGTAAATTTATTATTAATAATCAGTCCAGCAATGGCTTGGGTACTAAATTTCGTCCTGACACTCGAATTCACGCCAGTCGAAGTTATTTTGATGTGTCAGCGACGTGTCATATTTTGACAGAATTCCAGCAACGTTCCACTGACGAGCTGGACATCAGGTAATCATCTGACGATTGAGTTGTCTTTTTTTCAGAACCTGACCATCAGACAGGTTTATGATTCTTTCTAAACTTCATTTTTTTCTTTCATTTATTGTTTATTTATTTTAATTTTATTCACGTGCTTCCTCCGCAGACTAAACAGAGATCAATAGCTGTTGTCGCCCATCCAGCTGCGAAGGCCTCTGAGGTTGCACCAGAGTTTGTTTCTAAACTGAACTCGAAGAGGCAGTTACAGTTGTCAAAGTTGTCTAAGCTCGTTAGTTCATTCATTGACTTTCAATTCCGTTGTTCGCGTGGCGAGGACATTTATTTCAAGTGGCAGATTTTCCAGCAGAGCTGGTCCTCCGATAGACCGACAGACACAGCGGTGTGAATTACAGGGTGCAACACTGTTTGTTCTTTCATATTATTGAGTCAGCGACCCGTTGTCTGCCCCCCCCCGGGTAAGCTGTTAGAATTCAGGTTTTAAAATATATGTTAGACGTCGGTATCACATCCAAATGGAGAACGACAGATAGGATGAACAATAGCACTGGAAATCATCCACCTTATAACTCTGATTGGCTGGTGATAACGACCAGATTCTTAAATTCACTGACTTACTGTAGCACATCTCTCCTTCTTTTACATCTAGAACAATGTGTCCGATGGATTGTACACAACTGTCGGCTGGATGCCCACTCGTGAGTTATTGGCAAAAAATAAACTTCAGTTCAGTGCGCCTCGCTAGGGGACATCTCTTCGAGGACAAAGTTAAAAACATTTCCCTGCTCCCGCGTCGAAGTCTATTGCAGTTCGTCCTGCAACATTAACACAAAGATTAAAATAATATTTTCATTTCCAAGGCATGTTATTAACCATCGTTAGAATGAAACCGACGTGTTCTGATCTGGATTTTTCAATTTGTAAAACAGACCCCAATGCCTAACCCTTGAGACTGAAACTTTGGAATTCGCTGATATTCTTTCGTGACCATCTGAGACCAACAGAGTTTTAATAGCAAAATAACTTCGGTATATTTTGTCTGATTGTTAGAAAGGGTCATCAGATCAATATTAGGCATGTTTCAGTGCTTCTGCGAAAATCGTATTCCCGTTAACAATCAAGTTTATGTCAACGAGGCTATATATTGTACTGCTACGCGTCTGTGGTCAATGCAGGGCTACTAAACGAGTAAGGTTTTGAAAATGAGTTCATTCTCCTTCTGGGCCGTTTCATCGATTCAAACCAGACGCCGGTCTCTGAGATCACCTGACCGTTTCTTCAGTCCGGTTGTCTTCAGCGCCTGCCATTTTGTGACCTGGCTTGGTTTCATGGCGCTTCGAGGATATTGTGTGAACAGGGCTGTTAGAAGTGGTTTAAATGAGTTTCGTGACGCCTCACGATGGTAGATGCTTCGAGACTATGCACGGGCACCGCGAACACAGCATCTTTCAAAATGATGATCCTCGTGTCCTTTCTTATAGTTCGATATTCTCAAGTGTCATAAAGTTTACCATAATTCGCTCATGGCAGTCCAGTGCGCCGATTCACTTCCTGATGAATATTTCGTTCATTAATCAAAACAATTCTGACGTGCTTGAATCACCCACGTCGACGATCGTAATATCATCCCATAGTATCCCTAGTCTGACGGCTGCAGCTAATGCTGACTGGTAACCATCCCCCGCCACATAATGGAATTCCAGGAGGAACTCGGTGAGGAAAATGTGGTGCCCCGTCTGTATCTTAGCAGTGGAGCGAGTTAAGAACTAATTAAGAGGTGCTGACGTTGGCGTTAGTAACGAGCAACAAAATATTGTAGTCCTGTAAGGTAAAGGAAGTCGGTGAAGCCGCCGATTTATGGGGCACGTATTTTCAATATTTTGCTCTACGGTTTGGCAACGACTGCATTTAACAAGACTGTAAATGAGGCAAGTGATGACGTTCAAATCTGTCATGGGAGTGAAGCAATGCAGCCTGGTGTCAAGCGCAGTCCTGAGAATGGAAAGTGATCACCATACCGTTATGACAGCTTGGCTTCGCCCAGGCGTTTAAGATGATGGGACCATCGCCAGCGAATGGACGATGGCAGTTTTGTGAAGCGAATACTGAACTCAAGGTCTGAGATCGTATGGCCGCCAGGAAAAGCTCTGTCAAGACGAGATCTTGTCAGCAGACGTGAAATAAAGGATTAAGAATGAGCATACATTTGCTCCATCAAGGTGAAATGCCTGAACGGCACTCGAGGTGGCTTTAAATCGAAGAAACGAGAATATGACTAGATAATTTTGCTTGTTCGTGATTAAAGTTGCCCTCCAGATGGAACTGAGGTGTAGGGACATCATTCGATGCACTCATATGACGCGAAGGTGCGAATAACCACAGATGTTTCAGGCTTGATCTCATATTTTGAGACTGATAATGGATTGTGCGGCACTTGAAGTAACGCGTCAGTGATGTAAGCATGTCTTTAAGGATCATCATTCGAACGAACGATGAGCAACAAATGGAATTTGACCAATCTAAGCGACGGTAGCACTGAGTTCGAACAAAACCTTCGAATCGTGAAGTACAGTACTTTTCTGGTGATCAGCCTCGTGTCCATCGCTGTATTTTTGTTCGTGTTCATTCCCCTGAGCAAGCACTGCCGCATATCCAAGGAAGTGGTGATATTCCGAGGTAACCGACCACCTGCTGTGCTGTGCTGTGCGATTTGTCTACCGCAGCTGTTTCAGGCTTCCTGTTCAGCTGCTTGGTCAACGACATCGCCACGTGCTACAACTGTATCTACGGCCTGAAACTGTCGATCAGAGGCACCTGGCTCCTGTCCCGCCGCTATTGCATCCTCTTCGGGTTCCACAACTTCTTGTACGTGTTCAGTCAGACGTCAGTCACGATACTGTTGCTAATTGGAGCCGTAGGGCGGTACCTGGCTGTGACGAAGCCTGTGGTCTATCGGGGTCTGCGGATGGCGCACTACGTTGTTGTGCTGGTGGTCGTGTATGTCCTGGTAGTGGTGAAGACGCTG